TGGGGAGCTGGAAGATGAGAACTGGCGACTTTGTAGTACAACTTTAGATTTCGTGGCAGGCGCAGCACTTTGTGAACCTCCATGCGCAGATTTCGTGGCAGGCGCAGTACTTTGTGAACCTCCACGCGCAGATTTCGTGGCAGGCGCAGCACTTTGTGAACCTCCATGTGCAGATTTCGTGCCAGGCACAGCACTTTGTGAACCTCCATGTGCAGATTTCGTGGCAGGCACAGCATCTGTGGAGCTGGAAGCTGGGAACTGGCGACTTTGTAGTACGCGGAGCATCTGCGGGGCTGGAAGATGAGAACTGGCGACTTTGTAGTACAACTTTAGTACGCGGAGCAATCTGTGGCTGGAAGCTGAGAACTGGCGACTTTGTAGTCCAACTTTAGTACGCGGCGCAATCTGGGGAGCTTGAAGCTGAGAACTGGCGACTTGGTAGTACAACTTTAGTACGCGGAGTATCTGGGGAGCTGGAAGATGAGAACCGGCGACTTTGTAGTACAACTTTAGTACGCGGAGTATCTGGGGAGCTGGAAGATGAGAACTGGCGACTTTGTAGTACAACTGTAGTACGCGGAGTAGCTGGGGAGCTGGAAGATGAGAACTGGCAACTAGGTAGTACAAACTTTAGTACGCGAGAATCTGCGGAGCTTGAAGATGAGAACTGGCGACTTTGTAGTACAACTTTAAGTACGCGGAGCAATCTGTGGAGCTGGAAGCTGAGAACTGGCGACTTTGTAGTACAACTTTAGTACGCGGAGTATCTGCGGAGCTGGAAGATGAGAACTGGCGACTTTGTAGTACAACTTTAGTACGCGGAGCAATCTGTAGAGCTGGAAGCTGAGAACTGGCGACTTTGTAGTACAACTTGACGACTTTCTAGTACAACTTTAGTACAAGCGCCAAGCAGCATACATCCACCCACACACTGATACACACTGACGAACAAGCGCATACACACAAACACACACCTCACGTACACACAGAGACCCTCACGCCTTATATCTGTCTCGCCTGTCTCTTCCCCACGCTCACTCTTCCGCAGTTCGCACTTTACCCCTGCAGCCTCAATCTTTCGAAGTTGTTCACATGTGGGGTTATCCGGTCCTATAATTGGTATTCAAACATGGACTGTATCGAAACTTGAATGTGTGCTAAATCTACCTTTCTTTTTGGTGAATCCTCGGCACTCGAGATAGGTTTATAGGGTCCACAACCCCGATGGTCAACTCGTGTGATATCGTGTGAATGTGTATAAAAAAACTGGCCTCACCAGAGTTGTGCTACGGCGGAGCCGTGCTACGGCGGTGGCCGCGCAGTGCGCGGACGTCCGCCACCAGGGCCGTCTGCCGCGCCCGAGCAAGCTGCCGTTTGAGCTGGGCAAGTCTCTTGTTTGCGCGCTGCGCCGCGCCGCGCGCGGCCGCGCGCGGGACACACGAGTTGCAACGCTGGCGTGCGGCGCGCCGCTTTGACCACGCGCTGAAGTCCATGCAACGCACGCCTTCCGCTCCGTGCACAGCGCCAGGTACCCTGGACTTTTATTACGGCGCACGCCTTGCAGACACGTCGGTCTGCGTGTCGTGCCTTCCACGCGGCCACCCCAAAGGCATCTTCCGCCTTTGCCACGCCGCACCTGAAACACGGCTTCTGCGTGGCCCTCTCACCTTTCACACTGCTAGCACACCATGAGGGCCCAAGTGTGTCTCTTGCACAACGTAGATACAGGCACCGCCGTAAGGTGTTGTTTGTTGGGTCACTTGTTGTATGTAGAAGAACCTGTGAACATTGCATGGCCTAATGCTTGCATGGCAGCAGCCTGACTAGGTCATGACTGTGAAAAAGGGACTATACGAGATTACACAGTAAATTTGTAAAAGGAACAACTGCGCACACAACTTTTTGTTTGCGCTCAAATTTTTTGATGCGCGTTGAAAGTGGCCTCTTTGAAACGGTTTTTGCAAGCACTTGTCGATGTTCAACCTCACGCTTGCCGCCTCGCACGCTTGCATGCCACATTTTGGTTCACGAGCCGTCGGGGGCCTCCGCGGGGCTTTTGGAGGCTCTCGCTGCGCGTGTGTTCTGTCGACTTCTTTCGCTCGCGTTCATATTCACTCTATGCAGAGGCACTGTCCGTGCTTCCTGGCAGCTCTTTTACTTTTTCCGCAGGGTTGCCAGCGTTTGTTTTGTTCGCCCACCTTCAAGCTGCAAGCCATGGCTCTGGTTGAGCGCAACGGCGAGGCTCCCGGGGCAGAAGCCCCTAAACAGTCCAAGTGGCGCTCCTGCCGTCCCTGGACTACTTTATTTTTTTTGTGTCTTGTTTTCGCGGTGAGCTGGTTGCCCAATAGTTTGTCAAAGAAGCGTCTGAGTTATAGAGACAAATTGTGAGTTCGCACCGCTTCACTTCCAGGTGCTGGGAAGATTGGATGGGGCGAGAGTCAAGTGCAAGAAGTTGCTGCAGGTATGTTTTGACCAGCAGCCGAACTGTGTGCACACACTTCTTTCCAGCGGGAACTGGACTGGAGGCGCAGTGGTGAGGCTTGACAATGCCTTGGCCCGACCTTCTGCAGCTGATGTGGCGATGAATTTCCACACGCTTCGCCCAATCATTCAGCACTACCCATACCCAGATCGCGTCCCTTTTCATTGTACTTTCTTTCCACTTTTTGGGGACGCAAGTCTCAAGTTTGTATTGATGGCGTGATTCTGGCTTGGGCTAGCCACATCCGGCCACTGAGGTTCCTTCAGGCTATTTCTTGACGGATTGCATCCTCCGGCTGGATGAGCTTTTTGATGAGAAGATGCTGGTTGGCGGCAGCAGCAAATTGCAGCTAGCGGCAGAGGAGGGCGTGAAGCTCAAGAAGCTTTGCGGAGCTGTCAGGTCATTGTGGCGGTCGTCCCCAACAGGGAACCACCCAAAGGTTTCTGAACTCAAAGGTTTGTTGAGGCCTTCTCCAACTCGGCGCCGCCGCCCTGTTACCCGCTTATAAACCAAGATGAGTTTTTGATTGGGTTTCGTGTTTTTTTGCTACGTTTCTTTCACAACCGCTTCAGAAAGCGCGATGTTTAGGTTGAATCTTCTGATGAAGAGCAACCTGATCCAGAAGAATCTGGATCTGACATTGGGGAGCCGCATGATGACGATGAGGTGCCAGAAGGTGATGGCGAGCCTGCGGAGGAAGACGTCGTCGCGGCAGAGACATCTTCCGAATCTACCACCTTGAGACTTCCAGGTTACAGCAGTAACTCAGTATGTCTTCAGCACGAAGGGGTTTCTTTTGTCTTTCTTTTGTCAGCCCTACTCCCTATGAGTTTGAAGCATTGTGAGACTAATGTTTTTTGGCAGCTTGCCTTTGCGTCAGTGAGGAAGTGGTGAGAGCAGCGACAGCGATGTTGTGATGGAGGCCAAGGAGGCCGACAGTCAACGCCCAGGTGCTTGGATGTCAGAAGCTTACCTTGAGTTCTCCACTCGAGATCAGGCAGAGAACGCAGTAGTTCCAGCCGAGTTGCTCTACACCTGGTGGCGCGCTGGGCGTCCGAGTGGTGACAAGTTCAAGAACACATTTTCCAAGGACGACCTGAGGTGCCAAGGAGTCTGCTGAAAAGGACGTTTGTAGTTGTTTGTTCGTTGTGAAGAGCTCCGCATACCATGTTTGGAAGAAAGCTCCGCTATACCATGTTCCCTTTTGCTGACCCATGTGTGTTGCGAAGAGGTTCATGCCCTCATCCATGTTTACCTGAGGAACCGTCATTTCTCTGGCTACTTGTCGCATTGCGTCAACAAATACTTTCTGCACGCTACAACAAGCCTGAAACTTCGATGCTGTGCACAGTGAACAACTGGCAGTTTTGGCTAGCAGCCGGCTCCGGAACACGCGTAAACGAGTCGAGCGCGAGCGTCGGCGGAGGCTTGTGGCGGAGACATGGGCAGAGATTGCGGCGAGACATGGACAAGCAACGAAGGGGACACAAAAGAAGCGCAAGATGCTCAAGACAAACGCAAAAGAAGACGAGACAGAAACGACCACAGAAGAGACCACGGCCACGCCAGAGAGGCCGACACAGCAGGCGCACACGCCCAGCGACGTCGGAAGACGCCAGGCCGCAGTGGAGACAAGAAGCGGCGTAAGAGACGCAGACCCGAGAAAGTCGCAAAAACGAAAAAGGGAAGACAGTGGACCGGACACGCAAGAAGCAGGTGCGCAAACGATGGACACGACACGAAGATCCGAAGCACAGCCCCCCGCGCAGAAAGAACAGCGCGCAACACAGACGACAAAGCCATACCAATACGTGTGTCCCTTCTGCAACGCAAGCGTCGGCAGCACCGTGCGCACAGGCAAGGTTAATCGCCGTTTTGCTGTGAGGGAAGGAAAGGTGGCTGTGAAAGGTTACGCTTATGTTGCCCATGGTGCAAAGCTACTGTGTCAAGTAGCGTCAAAACTGGACGCGTGGACCATCGAACGGTGTGTGGCAATCAGTTTCGCGTCAAAGATGGGGCGGTCAACAGCGGCTAGGCCCGGGTACAGGCGTGCAGCAGCACAGACCTGTCCTGCTACGCTGACAAAAAGGGCTGGAGAACCTCCAGTCTAGGGAAAGCCCTGCGGGCTGGCGTCGCAGCCAAAATGCCTAACCGCCTGGCACGTTGCCTTCAGGAGCCAAAATGCCTAACGTTGCCTGGCGCGTTGCCTTCAGGAGCCCTTAAAAAAGTGCCTGTCACACGCCAGAGGCTCACTCCCAAGGCTCCCGGCAATCTCGGCCAGCAGGCACCCTGCCCAAAAACGGGTATGCCACAGACGTGCGCCAGGTAGCTGTAGCAGCCCAGGCGATTCTGTGGCCGTGTCCTGGTAGTGGCTGTAGTAGCAGCCCAGGTGATGGCCACAGACCGTCCTGCTACGCTGAAGCAGCGGAGGGCTTGGGGCCCGGCAACGACACAGCCAAAATGCCTAACGTCGCCTGCCACGTCGCCTTCGCGAGCCCATGGGCGAATCTGCTCCGCCACGCTTTTCCACGGCCACCAGACGGCAGCGTGGCCACTCCCAGACAAGGCAGCATGGCCTAGTAGCCCGTATAGCCGCATGGCCACTCCAGACAAGGCCGTAGGCCTGCGGGCTGGTGTCGCAGCGGAGGGTTTGGGGCCTGGCAAACGACACCATCTATTTCCACGCCAAAAAGCCGCGCCGCAGCCGACCAAAATGCCTAACGTCGCTTGGCACGTCGCCTTCGGGAGCCCATAAAACAGTTGCCTGGCACGTGCCAGA